ACTTCGTACCGCCTTATAATCAAGAAATATATGTTTAAAAAATATATGTTTATAAAAAATAGGGGTTGATCGTAGAGGGGTGAAAATTTAGGGTTGTATGTATTTTTGTAGGCTGTGTCATAAAAAAATAAAAACAAAAAATTTTGCCTAAAAAATAAAAACAAAAATTTAGGGGTGGACTACCCTTAACATTTAGGGGGATGAAAAATAGATGTTGGCCGATTCTCAGCCCTGGTTAGTATCCTCGATAAGGATCACGAAAATCGTTCGAGCCGTTTCGGAGGAGTTCAAATTCGAACACCGTGACACGAGAATTTTATATATTAGATGTTTACACCTATATATTTTAAATGTTGAAATAAGAAGTAATCAACAAACTGAATTTTAAAACCTTAGATTCCTTATTTATAAGCAATTTTTTTTTGAATTGGCTTCTATTTAAATTTTATATTGAAGACAAGTTACTAAATAACAACAAATTTGCCTGAAAATATAAGATCCTTTATATATAAAAAAAAAACATCCACTAAACCTCATATCAAAAGTCATGTATGTGATTAAATAATATATAACTTACCTTATTTTTTTCTTTCAATTAATTAATCTTTTATTGTAGTTTTTTTATTACTCTCTTATTTCTTACTCTTACTTATCTTAACGTAACTTCCAAACCACTCAACTCTTACATAAGAGTCTTGATTTAAACTTTTAAAACTTTAAGATTCGTATGTTCTTAGAAATAAATTGAAAACGAACTCTCAGGAAAAAGTTTCTAACAGAAGTGGCTCGATAGGTAATGTACTTAGTTACTAGTTTAAGAAATTAGTAAATTTGAGAATTAATCGTATAATATTGGGATTTACGTTTAATTCTATAATAAAACTAAAATGCTTGTACAAAAAATACGAAGTAACCAGACATTAATAACAAAAAAGTATTTGGTATATTTAAACATAGTTTTATCATTTTTGCACTGAAATACTATTTGAATGAATTTAATACTAATTAATATCAACATCGTGATAATATATGCCCATGTTGCTGTGCTATGCTAAAACTTCGGCTTTAACAAGTTTTTGGTCCTGACTTAATTTTTGTTGATTAAGTACAAGAATACTAAAAAATTTTACAAATAAACACTTATATTTTGGTTGGTTAATTTACACATAAAACAAAAAGTGAAATAGAGTCGATTTCTCTATATTTTATATGACAGAATAAACATTATAGTTATTGTAGTATTTTTAACAATACACACTAATAATTATAATAAACCTGATAAAGAAAAAAAATTTACCCTTAAAATATATATCCTCTTTGCATATTACAATTTATTTTTAAACTTTTCCTTAATTCTTTTTCAAATAGCTAAAAAATATTTAATAAAGTCGTTATATTTGAATTCACAAGCGCATTTGGAATAATAATTCTTTTTTCTTATGAACAATATAAAATCAAATGAAATAACGCATTATAGAGACAACTGAAGTCTGGATGAATGATGGTATGAGCTGTAACGAAGACAGATCGTGTCAACGCGTGAGCGATGTCTTGTTGGATATTTTTATTTGTTCATTTATTACCTCACCTGAACGAATATACTGGAAACAATTTGTTTGGTAACAAATGATCCATTTAATAAGTCTTAGAATGAAATCATTCAGTTTTTTATACCTTTCACATATGTACGCTGTCTTGTATTATATTTAATAAAACCTGTCACATCAATTCAAATAAATATTTTTCCCTTAGGTGACTGTTATATACATCTTCTACTTCTTCCTGTCAATTTCCCAGCTTTAGCCAGGGTCTGTCTAAAAAAAAAACTCTTTCGCAGAACATGTTATAGATAGTTTCGGCTACTTGTTTTTTACAACTGGCCACCTGCCTGACATGAACCCATTTTTGGGAATGTTCTTCCTGAGCTATTTCAGTTTGAGCATTAATCACCACGCTTGCTCAAGACGGGTTGGTGATTTCAAATTTATAATTGTGAAATTATAAGTCCAGGTTTCCTTACGATGTTTTCCTTCACCGTCTGTCAGTGGTGTCTAAATACTCTTAGAAAGTAGGTACATATGACTCGGAAAAATCACAGGATCGAACCCGCGCCCTCGACAACGAGAGGCGGGCCCTCTAACCATAAGGCCACCACTGACTCATATATACATATAAAAATGAATCCCATTTTTCCTTGGTCACGGCATTACGCGTGAATGTCTGGATCGATTTCAATCATCCTTTTTTTGTTGTATTTGTTATTATTAGGAGAAGGTCCTTATGTAAGAAAAAATCATGAAAATTACCAGTACTATAATATACTAGAATATTTAACTTTTTTAATAAAAAATATATGTCACGGGGCGTAATATTCACTTAGTTGCCATTAAAACAAATTCACATGCTCCTTGCAAATATATCGGTAGGAGTTGGTCTGTGACCGAAGTTAAATCTAAGAATATTGGGTATCATAAAACATTAGAATACACACTTTGTTTTGGATAATTTTGCTTTATTAATATACCAATTAAAATTCAATAATCGCAGTTAAGAATACAGAACATTATCTGTCGGGTCAATTATACTTAATTAAGAAATTAACTTCATTCAGATAAAAAGATAACAGATATTTCTTGATTATGGGGCGGTATGAAATCGCCGGGTCAGCTAGCATATATATATATATATATATATATATATATATATATATATATATATATATATATATATATATGTACATTCTGGAGAGTAAAGTTTAAGAACTACCTATGATGCTATAAAAATACATAATATATATTATCTCTTTTCCAGTACATACTATTAAAAAAATTCACTCCTGTTCATAAAATTGAATTGAGAGCAAAGTTTTTACTACGTAATATATCAAAAATGTATTTCAAAAACGATGAATATTTTATCGTTACAGATTTATTTGACTTCTGCAAATTATGGTAATGTTATGGCTTTACAATATCAATCGCTACTAAAAATACAACGTTTTCATCAAATAAAAGTTTTAAAATATATGTTTAAACAGAAACAAATCAATTCCATACTTTTCTTTTGACCGTAAGATGTATTTTTTGAAAGGCTTTTCAATTTTTATTAAAATAATTGAATTGTATGACTCAAAAATACATTTCCTGAGAAACTGACGACAGAGTCACCAGGAGGAAATCTTACTGCAACAAATATTCTTTTGTCATGTTTTTTTCTCTTAAATTTTATATTGTATTGTATAAAATATTAAAATTGTAGAAATTAAAATTAAATATATTAATCATATTTGTCATTCATACGACACTAAAATAATATAATTCAAGTATTTGTGAGGCACAATAAATTATTCATAACATCTCTATTGTGTCATGTTAGTTTATTAGCTGTGATCCATTTTGATGTAGTCATCTTACTAAGGCCATGCTGAGAGCCATTAATCATGCTTTCAATGTAATGACTAAATCAATCTCGTTGTCAAACAACGTTTCATTCACTTTCGCATGTGATTTAATATTTTTTTATTAATGATCTCGAAATTTTGATATAATATTAAAATATAATTGAAATTAATAAACATACATCAAAAGTTACTTTTAAGCCTTGTATATAAATAAATATTTTTTATGTCATTAAATGTATAAGTAATAAATATAAATAAAGACATCGGATATTGACTCTCAAATCGAATAGCGTGCAATGAGTCGTATGAAATTAATTATGGTATAGTAGAAGAAATATAAAGAGTCAAACTTATATTCCTAAGAGCATGTTGAAAATAACGTTTATAGCCGGAAAATCCTTATGGCCACTTCCTTTGTAGAATGAGGGTTGTTTGTAACGAAACGTACGAGGGAATTTTCTATGAATTTGCCCAAAATTTTATAAGTACACATGGAGTAATAGTTGACTTTTATATCCATGCTTTCAAATAAAAATCTTTGTATAGTCGGTATCTCTAAAACTTAAAAGGCTTTCGTGTATATTGTTATAAGAGACTAACCTTACTTCAAGACGCTAAGTTCTTGTTTTTATTTTATAAATGTTTATAATCTTTACAGCCATGACTCATTATCATTATCGACTAATGTTTTTGAAAATATATATAATTGATCTATAATTTGTACAAACTGTTAACTAACATAAGATGCTTTATGTTTTGGGATAGTTTTGTTATATTAACTGAATTAATCGCTATGTTTGTATAGGATAATATGAATAAAAAACTATATAACTTTTTATATTTATTTTTAATTTCTTAAAATTAAATAGTAACAGGCGTCCACTAAAATTAAGAAAATTTTTAACAAGTGATATGATGTCTAACCGAACTTAAAATTTGACAAAACAAACTTATTATGTTTTCAAACAAATATATTTTTTTTAGATCGCTAATATTGATGATATAATATTACTACTATACACCGTTTTTGACATATTTATAATTTTAATTTATAGTTAAAGATAAGCCAATTAAATATATTTACTAGGAATTGAAGTATAAAAAGTGGATTTTATTATTTTCTTCAATTTTTAAAAACACGAATTTAATCTACAATTTAAAAGGTCCCATTTATTTAAAGAATGAGGGAATTTGATCTAATTTCAAACAATATCTACATTTAATCCCAGAAGAAGATTAAATATATAAAAACTATTTTTAAAATATACAATAATTTGGTATTGAGATAGTAGATATAACAATTTGAAGATCAATAGATTTATAAATTATTTTGTTCAATCATATTTCCACCCTAGCATACAATATCGGAACTTTAATTTTTTTTTCATTTTCCTGGTGTTTTCAAGCATGTATATTTAAGAGAATTTTATTATATTGGTTTTTTATTGCTTCAAACATTAATTAAACTATCACATTTACTTTTATTATATAATTTCTACGGGAGAAGATATTTACACATATGTTACAACCATTATATTCTTCTACTTTAAAAACGATTACAGTAATCACTCAAAATATTCTAAGAATTTATTTAGTTATATTATACAGAAGTTGTGATTTGTTCAATGAGGTGATGTTCACGGCGGTGGCAAGGCGCCTTGCAAGAAGCGGATCTACTGATTGTGCTACTGCGACGCGCCAAGCCTTCTGGGACACTTCGTGATGGACGCAACAAAGCTGCACGACGACAACACTCAGGATACCGTTCCACTGAACAACAACTGCGATTCAACGGTGCGGCGTATGAAAGAGACTTGGGTAAACGCGTTGTGCAGGGCCCAGGCCATGCACAGTAAGCAGTCGCACCCCCAGCGCCACAAGCACACCATGCAGGCTCACATCTTGGTGGAGGTGTAATACACAAACACGCCTCTGAAATAGCTGGTGCAGGAGCAGGTGTAGGTTCAGGATCTCGTTTTGAGAAACCCACAAAAAATAATAACAAAGCTCCAGCAAGTGTCACTGCTGTCGAAAAGTAAAATCCAGCTCTCGGTGCTTGCTGATTAATATAACCCGTCATCGGTACACCAACTATAACTGGTATCGCTTCCGCACCTTGAACGTAACCTGCAAAATAAAATAGTTCAAATAGTTTGTGAAACAGTTTACAAACTTATAATTGCCTTTGCTTGTACCACTCACTCCAAACTTTCGTAAAATGTCGGCCCCGAACGCGTTCCATTGTAAGCATTTTTATTGAATACAAAAATCCACCAAGACATAGACCATACATCCAAGTAAATAATACATAGCCATGGTAGCCTTCAACACTACTCAGAGCGAGCATTGATATACCTGTAAATAAAAACGTAAATAAATCGCAATCTATTGTTATAATAGTTCATTACCAATATATTTATTGACATACCTATACCTAACATAGCAGTTTGGCACAAATATTGCTTAGAAACGAGACATTGTGCTGAGGGTCGCACAAGTACGAGCCCAAAGCCAGCACAACCGAGCACCGCTGCGAATCCCAAAAAAGTCTGAAGCAATACTAAAGCACTCTCTTCTAAACCCTCTTGAAATCCTTGCAGGGCCTATAATAATAAGATGCGATAAAATACCCAAATAAAGTCGACTAATGAATTTACCTTTTAGATTACTTACAAGAAAAAATACGGGGGTATAAAGCCCAAAAGCTGCCAACCCAGCAGCTAATAACAATACCTTTGCTGATCGTGAGTGAAGAGGGCTTAAATCGATAAAAGGCGAAATTTTAGGGGTTTTCTTTTCCTTAACCTGTAATAAAAATAGATTGACAACAGAAAATTCCGAAATATCACTGAAATAAAATTGAAATTTCTAATAAATATTTTTACTGACCATGAAATTTAATTAACAGAAATAAAAATGTATGGAAGCCATTTATACATTTGCAGTATGTCCACAATTACAAAATATTTTCATCGAAAGTTTCAAATATTCCAAACCAATATTAAGTTAAATTAATATAGGATAGACATTAAGTATTCCAACCAACCTTCCGACGTTGGTTTTTGAGGTGTAAAATGGCACGTCGTTGTGGGTGGTAGAGGGAGGCACTTCGGTAAACTGTGCTTAGGAAAAAAGCCAATACAAGGACACCGGTTACTGCCTGAAGTCCTAATCGCCATCCCAACTTTCTGAAATTGTTTTACTAATGCTATACACAAGTTATATTAAGAGACCACATTTTATTATATTCACACATACGATTTATGTTATACTTTCAAGTAATCTATTATTTAAAAGATACATTTTTACAATTTCTTACCCAACAGCTTCTTTATAGGCAACGCTAAATAACGCTATACCAACTCCACCCCCGGCGTGTGCTACAAGCTCAACAAACTGTCTTCGCCGTCGGAAATAAGTCCCAAGAACTAATCCTGCCGCTTCTCTCACAAGACCGCAGCCTAGACCGAGGACTACACCTGATTAAAATCAAATTAGAACCTCAATATTTAGTTAAGCTAAATAAGTTAGTAATATTAATTCCTATGTCTATATATAGATAGTTCAATAATTGCATACGTACACCACCTCTATGTATTGATATAATAAATAATTTATTTATTTTTCATAAAATAACTTGTAGTGAAATTTTATATATAATTAAAAGTAATAATAGAAGTAATGTACTAAAATAATTTACCGTAGCTTAAAAGAGTTTGATGGAGTTGAGTGGCGAATGATGTGAAGAGACAGGCGAGGGGTAACAGCAAGCCACCGACTAGGGCCGCGAGGCGGGGAGACTTCCTTCGACCTGCTACAAGGGCACCAGCGGCTCGTGACACTCCAACACAAAGTGCGCCAGCCCACACTGTATATATTTACCTCGTTCAAATAAATACGTAAGGAGCGGCATAAGTCTTAAAAAGTAATATTTATATATTTTTTTGCTAATAAAAATTACAGAAGCAATTTGGATTTCTTTGTTATTAATATAAATTAAGTTCTGGTCTGAGAATCGAAATATGGCTGTAAGAAATTTATTAATTTATAATGTCCTTAAATACATATGGCTAAAGCAAAATTTATCAATTGTTAAACATATTTTAGTTGCTTCAATATAAATAATTAAATTTCCCAAATATAACCGATTCTACAAAAAAAACCCAGCATAATATTTGCTCTAGACGACACTATAACTTATTTCAGAAGCAATATAAGATCATAAATGAAGAAGTCTATCGCAAACAATATATAAGGTAGATTTATGTGACAGGGTTAGTTTAACTTGTTAGTCGCAATTTCAATTTGTGAGGCAAAGTGAACCTGATAGAATTATGGTCGTCCACCCGCCTCCGCGCGACAAAAGAACCTATTGCCAAAATTACGTTGACCTTTTAATATTCCGAACAGGTCGTGAATCTTACCAAATTAATTCAATAATTCAACCACATTATTTTAAAGGTGAGGCTGAAAACCAATTTAAAATATTCCTTTAAAATATTAACGTTAATTATTATTGTTTCGTAACATTCAATTTCATTTATTATAAATCATTCCATTTTACTTCAAAAATTTATTGCAGTGTTTCCACTGTTTGGTTATACAAAACTTTTGTTTCATCGGGAGTTGTTTGGTTTGGTACTTTATCTAAAATAATCAAATAATTTCATATGTGTTTTTTATTCTACCCACAAAAAAGGATTATGTGACATTAAACTCTTTCCGAGAATTAAGTAATTCTAACTTTGTTTCAAAAATATAAATACTTCGTTCGCTTGAAAATAAATGCAAACATCCTTTTTGATGTTCGTTTTCCATTTTGAACTGTTCTGATATTTCTATCGGGTTGAGTAAAAATAAAAGTGAAGAATAAAATAAATAAAAATGTACGTGAATAACCTGTCAGCTAACATAAAAGTGTATTTTTTTATTTTGATTGTTATAAAACTCGCTGACAGTTACAATGCAATGAAATAAAAATGTCCCTAAAATGCTTTTTACATATAATATTTGTTTTTAATGCTACATACACATTTTGTTTTAATTGTAAACATTTGCTTTAAATTGGAAATGTATACCGTAAAATACTAATTACATTTAGTGCTGAAGGCAGACTAGCGTAACATAGTAACAAGAATAAACAACTAAGCATCGTATTGATTTACGAATGCACTAACTCGGAATTACTAACGCTAATAAGTCCTCTCAGTAATTACTCTCATTAATGATACAAACTTTTTTCCTGATTATATAAACGTAATTTTAATTAAGTTTTCATTACATTTTACTTCCTTACATTATAGTTTTATAATATATTTTTAATGATCACTTTTCTGCTTTAAGGGTTCACTTACTAGAGAGCATTCATATTAACTTTAAAGATTATTTATCACTACATGTACGTTCCTTTATGAATTGGATACAGTTACTCTTTTAAAAAACGAAACTAACAAACTTTTTAGATATGTGAATAAAATAAAAGAATTAAAATTGTAATAAAATATATTGCTTTAACGTTATTGGTATTCATTTTACTACATATATATGTTTCTGCTTACCGGCGTGATCAGCGGCGGGGCCGAGGTGTCGTATCGCATACACGTGCAATGCGCCATAAGCAAGCTGTAGTCCGGTTGATAGCAAGTGAGCAAGGAAAGCGGCGCCACAAACGATCCAACTGTAGGAAAAATACACATAAACATTGTTTTTCTTTTTATATATTGAATAGAAAATATCCACTTTGGTCTAATGAGGACTGCAAATACGTATGGCCTTGTGAGAACTATAGCTTGAATTTCTATTACGAATATGGTAAAACATTCATGAAATAAAGATACAGCATAGAATTGGATACGGGATATAGAAATATTTTTAAAGACGTAGATCTTTGACTTTGACAGTAAAATCCATATTTTCGATTAATATAACTCGAAAAAGAATAAAAAAAATGCAACGATACTCTAGAATTATGAGATTTTCTAATACCTGTCTTCTGGTTTTAAGCTACCTCTCCCCTAATTTTTAGCTGAATCCGTACTAGTCATTCTTGAGTTATAAATAGTTTATCTAACACGACTTTCTTTTATATACATAGATTAAAACATATGTTCATTATTTTATAAAAGAAATAAACGATTTTAAAGCATATTTAAAGAGTTCTAATTAATAATTTCCGTCCGTTTAAATGCGATAAAGAAGCGTGACGAGGGTTTTGGAAGACTTCTAGCGACAATAAATTTTCGTCTCTTTATATGAAGCTAATGGTCTATTTTATGTTTGGAATTCAAGTCGTATTTCACCCTTCTCATTTGAGACATTTAAGGTCAGTTGTAATAAAACCTAGTTCGTATTAAGTTGTCATTTTCAAATAACATATTTGTTCTGTTAAAGTTTTGAAGGGAAATAAAATAATTGGTATGATTATCTTTGTTTAACATGGGTTCGAGTCTAATATATTCGAAACTAATGCATATATAATAAATCAAATAAGCCTTCATATAAATATGTAACCCACTAAACCGCATTAGAATAGCGTTTTGGGATGAACGCCAAACCCTTTTCATATTTAGACGAGAGGTGTAAAACCAGCACATCTGTTATATAGCTTTACTTACTTTCAATCATGACCTCATAACTTATAAATGATAATAGTCATTTCATAAAAACTCTTCTCCTAGCATTTACACTGAGTGTTAAGGAATAAATCGAATATCATCTTTAAGAAATTTATTAATAAACATCTTTCATATTGATAGACAGAACGGTTATATGACACTTAAATATCATAGATAGATAATAATCATATCCATGCATATAAATTAATAATTTAAAAGCACAATTATAATCTTAAAAGAAATTAATTTTGTACTTATTAACTGTTTTAATACTGCAACATTGATTATATTGCTATACTTACTAAATTAAAATACGAACACCTAATTAATGAATTATAAAATTAAATATATTTCCATGACACATAGTTAACTCAATTATGTGAATAGGTAATAGGTACCGAACACCAAGTAAGTTATTATAACTGTGTGTGACAGTTTAATGTGGAAGATAATACGAGTAATCTTGTTCAAGGCAATTACAAGTGACTGAACACAAAATGTGTGCAAATTTATTTATCAGGATAAATGGAGTGTGAAAACTTCGCAAAATTTTATTCATTATTTATAAATTAAACTTTAAATAACATTATGTTAAATGATGAAATAAATTCAATAATGATTTTCCATTAAAGCTTTTCATTTTAATCTGATTACGATAAAAGTTAAATTTTAAAGATAATTAATGAAAAAATACGGTATCAAATTTTTAGTATCTACTCATCAAAGCTTATGTTATATCATGTTTAACAAAAGAGCAAGTGCCTTCTAAAGCAAGTCATTTATGAGATTTGCTTTGACATACCCCCAACCTCCTTCTGGATAGAAATGGTGCTTGATGGCCCGAGTGTCAAGTTCTCGACGTCGCAGTGCGGGCACTGTGCGGTGCAATGATCGCAGTTCACGTTCACGAAGCGCTCCACCGGTCGACTCATCTTCGACATCTGTTTAAACCGTGTTATATATAAATTCCATGAGTATTCTATAGGAATAATTTATCTATTAAAATAATACTACAACTCCTAACATTTATGTCAATTAAATTAAAATGACTTTTTAACATCTTAAATATTTAATTTGTGTTCATTACTTATAGACCTACTTATGCATTGTAGAATGAAAAAAAACAATAATAAAATTTGTTATCTTTTCAGAGAAAACGAATGATTACGTCGGTTATATTCATTAGACACACACACCAAAAAAAAACTAACAGCTTAAATAAACATTATTTTCTTTTTTTTTTGTTTAGGTCCTTTATCGTAAATATAATAAGTAGTATTTTTTTACACAAGAGGATTTATCAGGCAGGCAGGGAGCCGGTCGCAAAAACAACTAGCGAAAACTATTTACAACATGTAAGGCAGACCCTGACTAAAACTGAGAAATTGCCAAGAAAAAGAAGAAGATAATAAGTATTATTTTTTTAACCAACCCATCATTCTATGTATTAACGAAAACCATATATTTCTATGGTTCTTTGTATATCACTAGTATTTACCGTAATGAGGTAAGCAATTATAGCTATTAGAGAGTGGTCGACAGCGGCAGCGCGGCGGGGCGCGGGGCGGCGGCGGCGGTGATGCCGACGGCGAAGGTGACCACCAGCCCGCTTCCATCAGCCCGCCATGGCCGCAGTCGCAGCCGCAACCGCACCCGCACCCACACCCGCACCCCCGCCCGCGCCCTTGCTACCTACACACACACACATACACACACCGTGACATTCAACAAACAAGGAACACTGTGCTTAGCAAACTAATCTGTAGATTGTACCGGTGAAAAAGAAATTATAGACATGATTATGTCCTAGCGATGTTATGAACTTAGAACGAAGAAATGGATTGCATGATTATAATGCTAAGGACAGTGTATTTGAGACAATCATTGCAACGTAATAATTAAAGCATCACAATTGATAATAAGTAATAAAATAATAATTAGCTGATTGGGAATTGAAGTGCATAGTGTGTGATCTAATAAAAATGAAAAAAGAGAGACCTTAAAAACATAATTCCGCAGGGTTACAATTATTATTGTCAAAGACATAAATAAAGCTATTACATAATAAAGAAATAAAGACATTGTACTTTCATCTTATAAGTAATTTTAAAATATACCTCTGTTTTTAAACATAATTTCAGTGCATGATAAAATTTTCCGTCGTCACTAAATATATATGTAGGTTAAAAAAATTTAATATTTTAAAACATTGTAAGTTTCAAAATTAGTTGTTTAAGTATCGTTAAAAAGTTTTATCTCTAAAGACAATCTGCGGCAAATCGTTGAGGGATTTTCTTTTAAATTGTCTTTTACACTTTGTAAAAGTCGTAAACGTTAGTGTTTAGAAAAGACTGGAAAAGATAAAATTGAAACGAAGTTGAGATTTAATAGAAGTAGCAACTAGTAGTACTTTACAATCGTACAAATATAAGTGATTTAAACATGAATTAATAATCTGATTTAATTGACATGTAAACAGAAAAATTTATATCGAGTTTGAAAGATGAAGAATTCAGAAATAATTTTATTCGAATATGCTTTCTTATGAACGTGTTCCAAAGAAATATGTCTGTTAATAATAAAAATAATAAAAATGTTTTTAATATTGATGTTTAGACCCAGTTTCACCTATCAATGTTAAATAAGTAATATCTTGTTAAGGCGTTTGATGCTCTGTTAGATGCATCGAGCGTCCCACCACGCACAAATGTCCGTTTAAATGTCTTAACAAGCCACTAATATTAATTCCTGCTCTAGAGCTCCGTCTAATAGCTAACAGAATGTTAATGCATTGTCAAAACTCAATTGTACAATCACAGCCCTGATTTCTTGTAACCATTGTAACGTCATCTGTTTTGTCAGTTTCAACTATTTCCTTGTACTCATTAATAAAGTGAATTAAAATTTCATTTCCTATGATGATTTTGCCTCCTGCTTTTCTATGACATTACAAATTAAATTTTCTTTTTTTCTTATAATTTGAACACAATTTATGCCTATATTTATAAAATAATAATATATCGAGGAATGTATACGATCAAAGTATAAAGTGATGCATCGTGGCAAACGTGTCGTGTTAAACGCTATAGTTTCAATTTGGTCGTCTTATAATAAGAACGAATAATTTGGTAGTCAGTCACTTAACAGCAAAACATTTAATAATACGTTGTTAATTTGTTGATGTTGGACGTTATTATTTTAACAGACATTTATAATTTTAAAGGTTTGTTAATAAATACTTTATTAAGATTTAACAAACATTGATTGGTGAAACTGGGTCTTAACTTATTTCCAACCGACTCGGAAGTCAAGTGATGTAATGTTACTAAAATGATCTTTTATGTCAATTAAATAATATTATTTCTATAGTATATTATTCTTTCATACCTGGTGCAAGTACACCTCTCCACGCCCTCGCAAACACTATACACACTTCCGCGACGCATTCGAGCCGTCTGCCGTCACAAATGCGGGGAATTCGCACTCTTCCGCATTCTCCCTACACCTCAACACATTATGAAAGAATCATAACACTCTTCAGTTCCTCAACACTATAAATGCCTTCATCTTGTACCTATAAAGATAAAAGAGAATATTATGAAACACAACACTTCGTACATATTTATTTGAGCATACTCAATATATATTCAACACGGTACAAAATGTAAATAGCCAAATTTATGGAGTGAAATCTCCTTAAATAGATGTTTAAATTCAATGTTTTGGACGTGTTTCCTAGAAGAGAAGACAGCGTCCAATTTGCATACAATACAGAATATTCTATGTTGAACTTAAGGAACGGGTCAGATTGTATTAATATTCAGGCTATCTTTGTTACAAAAACATGGTATTTGATATAGAACGACTTTAATTAATTATGGCATTAATATAAAGATCACGTGCTATAGACAAAGATGAAAATAAAAGCTAAAAATATATAATAGAATTACTTTTTCTAACCAATTGATATAAATTATACTAATCAAAAAAATAATTGTATATAAAACTGATTTCTTTTTTTATATATATATTTTTAAAAAGCACTTATAACTGTAATTCTCCTACTTGAATATTTAAGAAAGAAAAATTATAAAGTCAATATGTATTTAAGGATTATTTCAATTGACTATTTAAATTCAAACGTGCCACGGCAATAAATCGCAGGTAATGGTTGGGAATACATTAGATATGCACAAACACGCGTTCAGCTGTTATAGTAATGGTCATTCGTTGGTTACAATGTTCTTTGACAGTTCATTGGTTCCTTATTAAAATTTGAAAGATTTATTCTTCTATTTTATCCTTTATCTTATGTTTGAAATATTTCTATTAGGTGTATATTTTTTACAATTTTGGTGCAATTTTTATACACCATAAGATTCTAAGAAAGTAACTTGAATTGCAACCATAATTTTGAAACATTGAGCATAGCAAATTAACTTAATTAAATTTCATTACAAGTTTGCTCACCAATTTCATATGGATAATTTAATATATAAAAATATGTATGAAACAGTTTTCAGTAATCCTTCGATTTTAAACGTGAGTAGGTACGTCATGCATTGATTCAATTGAGTTCATTTTTTTTTTTTAGAGAATATGAACAAAAGTAATATAGACATAAAAATAAATTCTATCCTTCATTAAAAGATAAAACTTTTCAAATATATTAATAAAGTTATTGTTCTTGTACTCATATCATTTTTTTAATGTTTTTTTAATTAATTTTCTTAAGAACGTTCGCAACTCAAATTGTAGGATAAAAAGTTATTAAAACAAACATTTAATCATTGCAATTACATGTAGTTAACTAGTCGCTTAGCATGTCATGCATTAATTAAGCGAACATGTTATAATTTTACGCGAAGAGCAAAAGTGATAAATTACAGAAGACATAATTCATGTAGAACAGAAGTAACACCAGCGGCATATAAGAAGATAAATGTGTTTTTGTAAGGTCAGAGCAAAAACAAAAGAGGAAAAATAAATCTCTTGTGAAATAGATTTTTTACTATGAAAGCGTTCTCATTTTTGCCTTAAGACGTCTTGATTTGTTGATATTATAAATAATCAACATACAAATTTGTAATGTAAATGGCAGTAGCCCCGTTCCCTTTTTAGAGAAACATTTTATCCTCAATTTGCTAAAATATACATTTTCAAAGAAAACCTCTTATGAAAGGTATTATTTCTAAAGTTCTATAATATTCAGATCATTGGCTCAGAAACGCATCGGGAACCACGTTACCGGCATCTTAAAATTTTACTTTAAAATTTATGTATCAATTCTTCCAATTTTTTTTAATAATGATTGAAGCTTGGATTAATATTCTATTGTAAATTTATTTACATTGTGTAAAGTAAACCCTAAACACTTACAAACTCGGGCAACCAGCCTTAATATGAAGAGGATTTAGAGATTAAGCCATCAAGGTAGTCGGATAGAGGGCCACATCTTAGATTATTTTTTATCTTTTTTGCAAAATAAGCAGGTTTCTTCACAGTATTTTCCTTCGAAGGTTCTAGATTAATATAAAAATTCGTCATACATATTATATATACATATGTCTACATGATATTCATATATGTATATATGATATTCATACCTATATATATATATATGATACATATGTATATTCCCAGACGAGATCGACCTCGAAAACCGTGTTACAAAGTATACAATTTATAAACGCTACACTCAACGTTCCTTGTAAAACACAGGCATTTATTATTTAGAAAAAAATGAACGAAATATATTAATCAAAACAATCTCGCAGTAAATCAGACACAGGAAGTCTTAGTAATTAATTAGTTTTATGTTTGAATTACGGCTTAATTGTGTTGAAAGTACTTTTTCTTGTTTGAAACAGACATTTTGTTTGCATAGTTTAGTACAATCGGTATAAGTATATTAAAACTGTATTTGATCGTCACGGTTACTAAATATGTTCCACGATATTATCGGTTCTTGGCAAACAACTCAGATTGAATAGCTATATAAGTTGTTTGCCAAAAAATTTTGTTTTGTTAGACACTTGCATCATATATTGATGTACTGTAAATTAGATAGAAGAGATAAGATATATATTTTTTAAACGTTTTGCCCAACTGCTTCTTTTTATTCGACTGAACTACAGTCGTATCACTATTGGTACTTTTCAAAACATCATGACTTCCAATTATTACTTGGATATTGGTACTACTTATGTCATTGATTTTTTCGTCTTTTAGGACTAAGACAAAACGGATTTAAGTTTTAAACTAAAGCATTTTTTGTACTGATAAAATGTTTGTATAAAAACTTTATCAATTTGCACTACCATATTTCATATGTTAAATATTGCGTATATAAAAGTACCTGACTTTGTACCACCAATAATAGAGAGAAAAAAAACAACAGTACAATTAGCAGTACAACTTACTGGCAAACGTCTTGTTTAAAAGTTTTTTAATTTGAACATTCAACTTTCCTACATTTATCTTAACATCAAACATGACCTAAGACCTTAATAAAACGTACGAAGGTTATTTTGTATTACATTCCACGCGAACAGGTGCTCTCATTATGAAGACGGTTCCCTCATTTAACCTTCCTATACCCGCGTCAAATACTGTA